GGAGCTTGCAGTGAGCCGAGATTGCGCCACTGCACTCCAGCCTGGGCAGCAGAGCGAGACTCCGTCTCAAAAAAAAAAAATTAAAAATACCAAGACAGAATTAGATAGTTGGGAATTTCAGCCCCACCCACCCCTACCAACCTCTGGGAAGAGAGGAGCTGAAGGTTGAGGTCAATGACCAATAGTCAATGATTTGTCTAATATGCCCATGTAATGAAACCTCCATTAAAACACTAAACGAGGCTGGACACAGTGGCTCATGCCTGTAATCCCAGCACTTTGGGAGGCCGAGGCAGGCAGGTCACCTGAGGTCAGGAGTTCAAGACCAGCCTGGACAACATGGTGAAACCCCATCTCTACTAAAAATACAAAAATTAGCTGGACATGGTGGTGCATGTCTAATCTCAGCTACTCAGAAGGCTGAGGCAGGAGAATCACTTGAACCTGGGACGCGGAGGTTTCAGTGAGCCGTGATTGCACCACTGCACTCCAGCCTGGGTGACAGAGCAAGACTCCGTTGAAAAGGAAAGGAAAGGAAAGGAAAAAGGAAAGGAAAGAATTGGCCAGGCATGGTCGTGTGCGCCTGTAATCTCAGCTCTTCAGGGGGCAGAGATGTGAGGGTCACTTGAGATGGGCATGTTGACTCTACAGTGAGCTATGATGGTGCCACTGCACTCCAGCCTAGGTGACAGAGGGAAACCCTTCCTCAAAACAAACCGGGCACGGTGGTTCACCTGTAATCCCAGCATTTTGGGAGGCCGAGGCTGGTGGACCACTTCACCTCGGGAGTTCAAGGGCAGCCTGCCCAGCGTGGCGAAACCTCGTCTCAACTAAAAATACAAAAATCAGCCAGGCATTGTGTGCATGCCCAAAGCCTCAGCTATTCAGGACGTTGAGGCAGGAGAATTACTTGAACCCAGGAGGCGGAGATTGCAGTGAGCCGAGACTGCACCACGGCACTCCAGTCTGGGCAAAAGAGTGAGACTCTGTCTTAACACCCCCGCCACTCCCCCCAACACACAACAAAATGTATAACGAGTTCGTACAAATGAATAAGAAAAAAACACAAAAAATGAAAGAAAAATTGGCAAAAACACTTAAGCACGTCACAACACAGGCAATCCAAATGGTTACTCAACACATGTAAAGGTACTCAACATCATTAGTAATTGGAAAAATGCAAATGTAAACCAAGATTGAGGCCATCACACCCCTAGATGAACAACAATTAAATCTGAGAATACCAAGTGTTGACAAGGTGGCAGAGCACTGGGAACTCCTACAGACTCCAGTTGGAAGAGTGAGATGGTAAAGCCTGTTTTGAAACTTTGTAGTAAAGTCAAAATAAGTCAACTTATTACTCAACAATCTTTTTTGTTTTGGTTTGGTTTTCATTTACATCGAGGTTCCCTTTGTTTCTATTTCTTCACAACCATCCATGCGGGGGTAACTCCCTCCTGTGTCTCAAGCCCAAATCCCACTTTAGAAATTCACATTCCCATTTCTTTCTTTTTGTTTCTTTGAGACAGATTTTCACTACGTCACCCAGCCTGGAGTGCAATGGCGCAATCTCAGCTCATCGCAACCGCTGCCTCACGGGTTTCAAGTGATTTCATGCCTCAGACTCCCGAGTAGCTGGGATTACAGGCGTGCGCCACCAAGCTGGGCTAATTTTTGTATTTTTAGTACAGACAGGGTTTCACCATGTTGACCAGGCTGGTCTTGAACTCCTGGCCTCAAGTGACCGGCCTGCCTCAGCCTCCCAAAGTGCTGGGATTACATGGTGAGCCACCATGCTCAGCCTCACATTCCCATTTCTGACTCTGCAGGACACAGGTTGTTTTCTGTAAAAAGATGGGGTATCACTATGCTGTCCAAGATGGCCTCAAACTCACGGGCTCAACTGATCCTCCCACCTCCCACCTCAGCCTCCCTAGTAGCTGGGACTATAGGCACGCACCACCATGCCCAGCTCTCATATACTTGAAAATACATAACAGATTTAAAACATTTGTCCCGATTACAAACAGTATAAACATACTTGTATATTCTAGAAACAATACCATACAGCACAAACGTAATCAAAACTAAGCAAGTCACAAAAGATACTACAGTCTGAATGCCTTCATACACAATTCATAAATAGGCAAAAATAAATTCTCCTGCTGAACATACATATGTTGGTGGTAAACTATAAAACTGTAAGAGAAAACAAGGAGGTCGAGTGTAGTGGCTCCTGCCTGTAATCCTAACACTT